GCAATTCTCTCCCTATGCTACTGATTCCAGCATTCCAATCCATTGTTGCACCCCCTAACCCAAAAGAAAGAACAACTAGGCAAATGTGATTATCTGATGATTGACCACCAGCTTTGAATAGAAAATGACATTTTATTGAATTCTAACAATAAATGCTCTATGCCGCATTTACTAAATTCTCTCCTCACAGGAACTGCCCTACATTGGTCCTGTGGTCCTTTCTGTATTAAAACTTCATGTTTGCAATTGGACCTCCTCCAACCCATCAAAGTCATGGGTTCTATCACGTGTCCTTTATCTCATTATATCATGTTAAGACACCTTTGATTTTCCTGTTTGTAACCTGATAACATCTCCAAAACTGACACTTTCTGATTTTGTATGCATCTTCGTTATTACAGATATCAAGGTTGATATATACTAATTCAGGTAATGCTATTCTGGCATTAGCTTCAAATGCCATTCATCTGCTCTGGAAATGGCAGCGCAGTGACCGGAATTCAACTGGAAAGGTGTGGAAATGTGCAAATTACTCTTCAGACTATCACTCTTATCTAGTCATAGGAATTTTATTCTGATGAATATTTATTCCTTGTAGGCCACTGCTAATGTGCAACCCCAGTTGTGGCAACCTTCTAGTGGCATCCTGATGACTAATGACATTACTGATAGCAATACTGAGGATGCCGTTCCCTGCTTTGCTCTATCAAAAAATGATTCTTATGTAATGTCAGCATCAGGAGGGAAGATTTCTCTGTTTAATATGATGACTTTTAAGGTGAGCTATGATCCATAGTCTTTATTCAAGGACTGTATTTGATTTGCAACTAACCAATTTCACTTCTTGGATATGTGCAGACAATGACAACATTCATGCCCCCACCCCCTGCAGCAACTTTTCTTGCTTTCCATCCTCAGGATAATAATATTATTGCTATAGGCATGGATGATTCTTCCATTCAAATATATAATGTCCGTGTAGATGAGGTATCATTGCTGCCCATAAACATTTCCTGCACAGGTTTGATCTGAGTAATTGTGTGTTAATGCATTTTCTTTTTATTTGCAGGTTAAAAGTAAACTCAAAGGTCATACTAAAAGAATAACTGGTCTTGCTTTTTCCCATGTATTGAATGTGTTAGTTTCATCTGGGGCAGATGCTCAGGTAATAGTTGTCTCGTGTAGATCTTTCTCTGAAATCTATCTTTTTGTATGATTAAATTGAATTAAAATTCTTAGTTTAGAATCTTTTAACCACTTTTCATCAATTATTGACCCCCTTTGAGAATGCTGTTGGCAGTGCATTTCTTCTTCTATATCTTATAGAGTCATTTCTGTCTATTGTACAGCTTTGTGTGTGGAATACTGACGGATGGGAAAAGCAGAAGTCTAGATTTTTGCAACAACCTCCTGGGAGGACTCCACCAGCCCAGGCAGATACCCGTGTACAGTTTCATCAGGATCAGATGCGCTTCTTGGTTGTACATGAAACTCAGCTTGCCATTCATGAAGCTACAAAACTAGAATGTTTAAAGCAGGTTAGTTCATTAAATTCAATTTTCTGTTAACTGTAAATTAATTTTATTCTTGTCTAATGTATGGAACTTGAACTGCAGTGGTTCCCACGAGAATCTGCGGCCCCAGTATCACATGCAACTTTCTCATGTGATAGCCAGCTCATATATGCAAGCTTTTTAGATGCAACAATCTGTGTATTTAGTGCTTCAAACCTTAGATTACGATGTCGAATCAATCCTTCTGCTTATCTTTCAGCCAGTGTCAGGTATTGCTTTGTTTGACAAACTTCCATAACACTTTGGATGTACTTGTTCTAAGTTATTAATGGTTTTCAGTTTTTTCAATTTTAATTTTTGACAAGGTGCGAAACATGAACTTATTTGGTAGAAATTTTGTTTAAAATTGTGATATTGTTCGTTTTCTTTTGAAGCAATTGGGTTTGAAGTCATTAAAAATCCCAAGCAGTTGTTATTCAATTTTCATTTTTCATTTAATTAATCTGTTTTTTAGCATCAAAACTCGTTCAAGTTATGAACATCTCATTTCTGTGCTATCCTTTGGACATATAACGTCTTCAAATTCCAAACTGAATGAATTTTAATTTTCAGTTCACCGTTGGACATTATGGATATGCAATTATCATTTTGTGCTTATTGTGAATGATTTTAAAGGAAAATAACCCGTATAGGTGGTTTACTCTATAAAGATGGAAAAAGGGGTTACTCTAAAGAGAATAGAATCTAATTAACATTGAAAATAATTCAATTATTCTTTATGGAGGATTATTCTAAATTTAGAACGTTTTTTTGTGATAGTAACTGACAATCTTTTCTGCTGTACTTGTTGAATACTAAGTGCCTTGTTGGTTTATATGCTCTGCAGTTCTAATGTACAACCACTTGTTATTGCTGCACATCCTCAAGAACCAAATCAGTTTGCAGTAGGATTGTCAGACGGTGGAGTTCATGTCTTTGAGCCCCTTGAGTCTGAAGGCAAATGGGGTGTGCCTCCACCCAATGAGAATGGGTCAACGAGCAATATGGCAGCTACTTCAGTTGGTGCTTCTTCAGATGAAGCTCAGAGATGATCCATGTCAGCCAAAGACAAGTTTCTTTTACATACTTGGCTTGCTGGCCCTTTCAAGAACTAGGTATGTACTTATATGTTGATGGCAGGACACTCCAAATTAGTTGATCCAGCTATTCTCTTTATCCATTGTGTTGTCTGGTCTTTGTGGACACTCACATGCCAGAACAATGGACCAACCCCAAACCTAAACCTTGCAATTGCAAAATATGTGAAAATTTTCTTTAAGTCAAATGCTGCAGAAGCAGAAGCTCTCCAGTTTAAACTTTTTCTGGCTGTTTATTTAGATTGTTTATCCCAACTTCTCTTTTGTAATCCCATCCAGTCTCCATGTAACTTACTAGGATATCTTGTGTTCGGCTGCTTACATTTTATTTTTATATAAATATATAATTTTTTTTAAATGGTGTTGTTTTTGGTTCTACTACACTTATGAGGACTAACAAACAAATCAAGTATAATTTTTTATTGAGAAATGTTATTTGGAATTTTCTATAATGCACATGTTAGGCTCTATGATTATACTAGTTAAATTAATTAATTGTTATCTTCTCTAAACTACCGTAACTGTTATTTTTCTCATTATCTTTTTTACTATTTCATTATCGCAGTAATCTTTTCACCTCCTCCGATAATGCTTTTCTTATTCTCTTTTTGAAAAAATTGCATGGAAGGAACTACATGTTTTATTTTAATATTTCTAGAGTTCGCAAAGTGGTAAGAAAGATTTTTTTGTTTTTATATCTTTTTCAAAATAAATGAATATGCCAGATCGGCAACTCATTGGATGTCAATTTTTTTTTTCTTTTTTATATTTAATTTTTATTCAATAAAGCAAAAAAAAAAAAACATATTTTGTGTACTATTTATCACTAATATCTTAGTGGGATGCTGGTATATTGATAAATGCCAAAAATAAAAGAACTGTCATTCAAGAACTCAATTTAATATTATAATAATCATTATAAGATTTTATCAAAATAAAAAATTAAAATTATTTCTATACTATTAAATACAATTGTTGGATGAATGTATGTTAAAAAGTGGGTTTTCAATTAATCTTTAGGAATCAACGTCATACCATCATTAAGATTTGTACATCTTTGAGTTAGCCAAATAAATATATAAATAATACTTTTATATTTATTGAGTACGAAAATAACATTTTTCTTGAGTTTGTAAATAAAGAATATAAACAAAAGAAAAAAATTAATTTGTGTTCACTGTGAAACAATAAATTTTAATTATAATTATTTTAAAAATCATAGCTAGCAATTATTTTAATTAATTAATAATAGAGTTTTTTTTTTCTACATAATGTATAGAAGTTACTTTGGCATGTTTAAAATGTTTTAAATAAAATTTATATCTTAATTTTCGGTTAGTAACATCTGAAGAAGTTTCAACCCCCAAAAATTATCCCATTGAACCAAAAATGTTACTAAGATGGACAAATAAAAGGAATTAATACACAATGTTTTGTGGGTTGGGAGGACAAAGGAGATTTATTTTAAAAAAAAAAGTTAGATTACTATTTCTCACTGTTTATGCTCATCTTTCTCTCTCCTCTATGCATTTTTAAAGAAAACTTATGTTGCAATGAAAGAAATGAAGTAATAAATATGTTGATGTCTTTTAATCCTAGTTTTAAAGTATGTTATATATATATATATATATATATATATATATATATATATATATATATATATATATATATATATAAATAAATAAATAAATGATTGTTATAATAAAAAATAACCTTAGAAATCCTGGCTTATGGTCAAATGTCTCTCTATATATACTTTAAAAGAAATAAATTAACAGATATAATTACAGATTTTATAGAATATATTTAAGATATGACATATTTAATATAAAGTTTGTTAAGATACACCTAATTTTTTTTTAAATAACTTATTAAACTAAAGATATAAAATTTTTTTAAATACACCGAACATGTATTTGATAAGTTATTGATTATAAAAAAAACAAGTAAATATAATATAACAAATCTCATCAGTTACTCATTAAAATCATTAATTTTTTTTAAAAATATAATGAAGCGTAATTTAAATATCTCTAATTGTAGAGCAACTATATTATTTATGAACTAAGCATTGGAGGTGACGACAATTTGATTCAATTCACACATCTCCATAACAGTGAGGATGGAAGCAACTCATTGCAATTTGAGATGTAAACAGACAAGGAAATTGATGCACTTAATACATAATACACAACTACGCACTAAATAATTTTACTAAATCGGATCGAAGTTGGCATGATCCTCCTGTTTCCACAATCTCTTTTACCCAAAATCTCATCCAAGGATAGACATAAATAAGGTTTGGAAAGTTCGAAGAAAAAAGGATGCTCGCATGGAATGGCAAGGATCATCATGTGGTCAAGCAATTCTCCCATGTCCCATACTTTGAGCTGAAACTCCCACCACCGCTCTGTTGTGCATGCTCAGAGATAACAGTGCGGGCACAAACATCCCAAGTCCTTGCTATCTCCCCAAGGGACATAGGTTGTGATAAACTTCGCAAAGATATGCTAAACCTTGTCTTAGCTTTCACAGAAAGATCTTCATTCTCCTTACTGAAAGAAATATTCAATACCACTTTTTCATTAAACACAAAAATTCTCGGCAAACCCGTGTTTCATGAATGAAAAAATAAGTCAGAATCACCGAAATAAATTTTGTAAATGCAAGCATAGAACATAGTTGTTGTAATAATTCATGATTTGGTGAGTAAAGATTTTGTTTAAAAGAAAACAAACTCACAAGAGATGGCAAAATGCTCATTCTCTCACCTGGATTCAACTGGAAACTTGTCAAGGAGTATGGGGGAACAATTAGGATAATTTGTGGGAACAAGCAAGCGCAAAGGTTGAATTGGTGACTGCATGGCAGTAAAAACACAAATAAGGACAAAGTTGGAAGTTCTATAACAAAGACACAAAAAATATGTACTTGATATGCATGTGGTTTAAGAGTTTTAAAGCCCACCATCTGTGCTGAAGCATACTGGGATTTTAAGCTCGGACTGAGAGCCACAGCATTGTACGAACACTTGACAATGGTTCCTTCTGTTCCTTCAGCAGCAGCTGCTGCTGCTGTTGGATCAACTTCTTCATTACTTATGTCTACTACTGTGTCAATAAGCCGCTGATTAACCTCCCTAATTTCTTCCAAAAGGGAATGATTAGCCTGCAATGTAAGTCACATAAATTCCTTATCAACAATCAAAGGCTGCATAGACACAACTGTAAATTTTAAAGTGATTACCTAATTTTCAAAATGCTAACTTCAGAGTAATTTTAAAACATAATAACCAACAAATCAACTAATGGTCTAATGAAACAAATGTCAAAAGATAAACCAGATCATGCAAAATCCAAGTCAGTATATGATGAATCCAGAACTGTCTAAGTCAACAATTGACCTGTTACGAGAGTTACCCATGACAATAGGTTTTTTGTTCTAAACTCATGCCGCCCTTAATTATTGTTCATAAATGGGGAGATTTGGGAGGATAGTGGTTATTTGTAAAAAATAAGAAATTATTAATCACAAGAATAGAAGAATAAGTAGTTAACAACATGAGCCTAACCACAGCCTAATCCCTAATACATTTTTATCGTTTCATGCTACTACTTACCACAGCTGTTTTCCTCTTTATTTGTTGTAATCGCTATTATTTTGCATTCAGTATCACTTTATTCTGTTTTGGTAAATATATTTAGTATCGCTGGCATTTTTAAGGAAAGAGTGTTTACCATTTAAATTGATCAGATTAATATCAAAGAAAATCTAATTCAATAATTCCTATCTCAATTTTGATTAGATCCTGCAAAATTGTCCTGGAACATCACAATCAAATGTATAAACTGCTACAAAATAGTGGTCGTTGCAAATAACTTGTGCCTTCACGAAATAAAAGTGTACACTAGTTCAAATTTCCCACCATATGTTTATTCTCTTCCCCTTGGCCCCACCTGGATCCTTATTTGTTGCGTGAACTGATTTTTTTTAGGCATCAAAATTTCTAATTTACTTGGTTGATGATACCATAAATATGAATCTACAGTGCATGCTTGATATATAGCCTCTAGATATATTTCACCATCTAAATGAGAACATGAAATTACACTCTTTTACATACTTTCATATTGAACTAGCAGCATTGTTTTGAGACTCTATCGAAGTCAGAAATGGTGTAGTAATTATGTAGTGTTAGTGCATAAGCTATCTGTGTTGATGTCTCATAAATTGCAATGTCTAGCCCAAAAATTAAGACAGTAAAGTAAAAGATATCAATTATAAATAAAATGTAACAATTAAAAAATAGTACCTCAATCCTCGGCATTTTGAATCTAGATGTTGCAGTTGAATCCAAATCAGAAACATCAGAAGCAGTTAACTGCTTGATACTGTCATTCATGCTACCAGCAGAAGATACAACATTCAAGGGTGTTGCATAAGTGAAGCGCTTCATCCTCCTAGTTCCATTGGCACCATCTTGTGTGATAAAATTTCTAGCCTGAAGACGACAATTAGTCATAGCAACCAAATCTTCACCCACGGCAGCTCTAGATCCATTACCTGGAGCAGATCCTGCTATCCTATCGTTCATGCTCACAACTGAACCTATATCACTGACAGCAGAACATAATGCTTTTGACGACATTGATTTCACCTATTGGACATGAATTTGTCAGTTGAACAATTATGGAAACCTTTATGTATAGTCAAATTTGTAAAAAAACTTAAAAGAACACAGTCACAGATCAGGCCAGTTTAAGATCAACTAGACTAACCACTTTAATTAGACGCTCAATAGGCTGCTCAGTAACAGTTGACTTTCCAGATGTGGATACTAAAGCATTACCATGTGCACCATCAGGACCAGTGAACTCTGCAAGTAAAGGAGAGGCTGATATTCCAGGTGTTCCAATGGCCAGGGATTGAGCAGGTGCTGTTGCACCCCCTGGTTGTTGATATCCAATATTTGCAGCATTTGATATCAATGAAACACCAGAAATGGGCTTTTCAGACTCCCCAGGCATAGGAGATGGAGCCAAGGGAGGTGAGGGAGTGGGTACTACAAAAGGTGAGTTAGCAGATTGCAGAGGGGTAGCAACTTTTGTTAGAGATGGAAGGTGGTTTTGTTGATCAACCTGGGGAGATGAGTGTTGTGGAATCTGAGGAGATGTGGCCTGAAGGAGTTGGGGAGAAGAAACAGGAAAAGGGGTCCCTTTCATCTGTTGATGAGGATAAGCTGAGCGTTGACTGGATGTAAGATGTTGCTGAAAGACCCCTGTCTTAACCCCAATTCCTTGCCTCATTTTTATGTCATTCGCATCATTCATTTGGTGAAGTTGTTGCATTTGATGTGTCGGCAATTGTGCAGGAAGCTGTTGCTTTGCTGTCTGGTGTAACTGCTGCTGCTGTTGCATGATCTGTTGTTGTTTTCTCTGCATCAATTGACGCTGATATTGTTGTTTAAACTGTTGATTCTGTAACATCTGTTGTTCCTGTTGTTTTAGTTGCTGGTGTTGAAGCATGCTAGAACCTTGCTGAAGGGAATTAAGATTTGGTTGGATTACATTAACCCCAGTCGTTGAAGATAAGGAGTTAACATTATTTTGTTGAGGAGTGCTAACAGGGTTTTGTTGGAGTGAGCTCACTGAAACCTGTTGCAGGGAGTTTACAGTATTTCCTGGTCCTGAATCTAAATTGGTATTTGGTTGCATTGAATTCATCTTACTCTGTTGTCCTGTAGATACACCAGACAGAGAATTATGCTGCATGTTTCCCATGTTGTTCTGCTGCATTGTTGCTACAGAACCTTGCATATTTGTTGTTTGCAACTGAGAGTTCATTTGATTTTCATGAGACTGCACTTGATTAACTTGGGGCTGTGACTGCGACATGGAATGCATATGTGGTGGGGGAAGCTGTCCAGGCATGTTTTTCCTAGGTCTATTTGTATTTATAAAATTTATAATCTGCTTCTCATAGGAACCCAGTTTCTCCTTGTAATTAGGTAAGATGCTGCTCTTGGAAACCTGAAGGAATGTTATAATTCGTTCCAGCATCATTTTAAATACCTTTAGTTTATCAAGCTGGTCTGACTTTGGTTGTTGTGGAAGAGAATCATGCTGATAGATAAAGAAGACATACATGGTTAAACACAGTAAAACTAATATGAGTAAAAATAAAAACAATAAAGGGCTTCTCCGTTTAGAGTTTGCCAGAATAATAATAATAATAATGGAAGACTTCTTTATCCATAGGTGATATTAAAAATTTGCCTGACTAACGTACCTGTTGAAGTTTAGAAGCAATCTTTTGGTACATTTCATTCAACTCTGGCAAGTAATTTTCTTTCATGGATTTAATCTGCAAGTTAAAATCAACAGAAGCAAATAATCAATGCATTATAAACCTTTCAATTCCCTGTGCAAGAAGATCTGTACTACTATTGCTTTAAAGAAAGGATAAGAAATATTTTCCCATTTTATGGCGAATTGTAAATTGCAATGTTCACTCTCATACATAAAATTGAGATGTAAACCATACACACATGCACCTGAATCCACAACTTCGACTATTGAATTGAAAATTTTAAATTCTCCCCAAAGGGAAATACCATTCATCTCAACACAAAATCATATTAACAATAACAAAGAGTAGGATAAAACAATAATAATTAAAGAAATTAACTGCCCACAGAAACCAGAAGAAAAATCTTTTTGGGAAAGCACCCCTAGATGCAGGACATGTTTTTTTCAAATATTATGTAACTGTTGGTACCATCAATATAAATATTGGATAGTATCGATTACGGGTCTTTTTGAGTAAGTTTCTCCATAAATGCTTCTAAGAGATGAAAATATGAAGGAAAGATGGAATAAACTTCATAATCATTCTATTTTAGGGTTTGTTTAACATATATTTGTTGTTCAACCCAATTTACTGAAGAAAAACCATAGTTAGAAAATAGTATATTACCTTTTGATACACTTCTTCTTGCCAGTCACCCCCACTTGACTGTCCAGTCTGTGCCGTCGAATCCAGAGAAGCTACCAAGGATATTTCACACACATGTGAGCATATATAGGGCTAAAAAAATGCAGAAATTTGTTGTTTTTTTAAGAAAAAAAAAGGTAATTGCAGACTAACTTAGTGGACATTATTCTATCATATATAGAAGATATATTCATGAGGTATTATGATATCATATGTTGCTTCTTTTCAGAAAGTTTGTGGCTTAACCTGTATGGACCACTGATTTATTGCACAAACATCACAAGAATTTCTGAGACTTCCAAAAGACAAGGCAAAAATGTTATGAATGAAAGATAAACAAACCAGAAATGGTATGAAGCAATAGTCCCAGTATTTCTTTAAAAGAAATAAGATGATAGTTGTATTTCCTTTTACATTTTTCATTTTCTTTGCAATTGTTTGACAAGGCTGATGACAAATTGAGATTTATCCAAGGCTGTCCAAATAGAACTCCTACATGTAGATTCGTAGAATCATAAGATGATTCTAATTCTACATGTTTGTGAGATGGGGTATCCTGATCCAAAAGAAAACTCATCCTACTGAGATAATGCGGGAAAGCACGTTGAATTACTGGGATCCAGCAATCCCAGTAATCCTGCGATGGGTTTTGCATCTTACCTGCTGACAAAATCAAACCCAACCCAGGTAATACACAGATCTTAAATAACAATTTGCGAAACCCCTGTATCTGCAAAATACTACGTCTAGAAAAACATCTGCTAAAACTATCATATTCATCAAAACTGAAATTGTGAGTTTAACAATCTGAACTAGAGAGACTGGGTCTAATTTCTGCGCTGCTGACCCCAGAGTGTACAGGTCAAGCCATCTAAGGCAAGGACAGAACAGAGTTATTACGTTAAAACCAAATCACACAGGCGTGCTTCAGATTACTATGCCGGTTCTATTATATTTTGATGTCCAGTCCTTGCTCTGTTATTGTAATATTACATTTTGCTGGGCAACCCTCACAATTCACTGAAAATTCAATCTTTTAGTGATTTTATATTACTATTTGTATCTTTAACTTGTGACCTTGGCTCTATTACTGTGTTTAGGCCATCTAAATATTTTGTTGGGTAGGCAGGGCTTATACCTTGGAGAATTACATCTATATATTTTGAATAAGAGTTTATTCCAACCTCAATAGAGATTTCAAAGATAACCAACCTATTTATGTTATATAGATGTTTGAAATATAGTTTTATATACCTCCTAAATGACCCAAGGTAGTAGTTTGACGACCTTGAAGCCATCAATTGACAAATGATAAAGCACAAAAAGAAAAATGCATAGTTGCAATTTCACATACTTGATGAACTTTCTGGAAGGGGTCTTTGTGATTGATATAACTGTTTTTGTTGATCAAGAACACTTGATTGTTGAAGCAACGGACCTGAGGCCTGAAGCCTTTGTTGCATATCTCGTTGCAAGGAATTTGGCTGCTGTTGCAAACCTAACTGCTGTTGCAATTGTGCAGGCTGAGATTGAATCTGTGGCATCAATTGCTGCTGTGTAGCCTGAGACTGTGACTGCTGTGTTGATGGTAACAAATTTGATGCATTTTGCTGCGATTGTTGTTGAATTGGAACCTGTGATTGCTGTAGCACGTGTGCAGAGTGCTGGCTTGTTTGCATGCCTGAGTTGCCAGATTGAGGTCCCAGGACCTGCTGTTGCTGTAACCCAGAAACATTATTACTCAACTGTTGATGCATATTCGCTAGGTTGTTTTGCTGATTTATTAACTGTTGCTGTTGCAGGTTGGAAAGATTATTCTGCTGTGAAAGTAACCTCTGTGGTTGCTGCAAATCACCAACATTATTTTGTGTCCCATGTATTTGGGAATGCTGCATGTTTGTTGCATTTCCCTGTGCCCCCATAAGCTGTTGCTGTTGTGGAGGTAATATTGACTGTTGAGTCATTGGAGTTTGTTGCTGATGAATGATTGAAGTCTGTTGTGGTTGCTGTTGCCTGATAACTTGGGAGTGTTGCTGAAGCATGGACTGTGTTGACTGTTGAACATTATTTGATTGTTGATTGTGCTGAATGCTAGGTAGAGATGTCTGCATCATGGGAGTCTGCTGCATAACAGATGATGTTTGAATGACAGGTTGCTGAGAAGATTGCAACTGATTTGGTTGTAGAAGATGCTGTTGCTGCTGCTGTTGTTGTTGTTGTTGATGGAACTTCTGCCTCAAAAGCTGTTGTTGAATTTGTTGTTGGTACAGATATTGCTGTGGATTTTGTGATTGCTGCTGTTGTTGTTGTTGGGGAACAACCTGCTGCCTTGCGTGAATTTGTCTCTGGGAACCAGCCAACATATTTTGCATGTTGGAGTTCTGGCTAATGGTGCTCCCCACTGAATTCTGTCCAGATAAATTCTGCATGTTGGGATTATTCTGGCCAACATTTTGGATTGGATTCTGGGTTAAACTCGATGATTGAGATGCAATATTATTTTGAATAAGCTGCTGGCGTGCCTGGGGTTGATTGGCCATAGGAATTGAATGTTGCTGCCCAGGATTGTGAACTTGAGGTGGAATAACAAGCCCTATTAAATAAATAATGATTGGTTAAGTCAGAGAAACCCACAAACATCAGGATCCAAATGAGTTATTAACAACACCAAATTGATATTTTGGAATTTTGCAACCTAACAAGGAGTTGAAGTTCCCAAGAAAACTATTAAGCAATAATGGATACAATTCAGCATTCAATCAAGAATTAACAATGTAATTTAAGCTTTTTGGACTTTTAAAGATTACGCACTTTACCACTTTTCCTTTTTGGCTTGCTTTTGTTCTATTTTCACAATTACCTTGGTTTTGGCCGAAAGGTTTCATGGCCAACACCTGGCATTTGTAATTCAATGTGCTCATTTTGGTCCAAGACTTGAACTCAAGATTAACAAGATACTTAGTGTGGAATACAACTATTGCACCCTTTTCCTTTTGATAATCAGTCATTTAGCTCAAATCAAAATACAATCTTTATGACGAATCTTTCAAGACTAAATGCCTAATAACAAGACTCTAGGAAATAAAACATCAAGAAAACATCACTAAATATCAAAGAGAGCAAATAGAAACTCAAAGGGATGCAATCAAGATCAAAGAATACTTTACATGAATTTGGTATTCAATATCAAATCAAACAAGTAAAATCAATTTTCTTTAATCAATATCCACCTCAAGATCTTAGAACCTAGTCACAGACAAGTAGGGATGACAATCAAACCCGTACCCCCGCCCCGAGGTTAATGGGGAAAAACCGAGTTGACCGAGTTCGGGTTTTTCCTGCTTTAAGAAATCGGGTTCGGGGCCAAGGATGGGTAATGCAATCCCCAGCCAATCTCTCGTCCCGACTTTATATTTAAATCTAAATTCTAAAATATTAACCCTTTATCTCTTTGTCTCGTTTGTCTTCTTTTCTTTTTTAATGTTATATATTAATCTTTGCTTTTCTTTTTTTATATATATTTAAATTTAAATCATGAGATATTACCCTTAGTCTTTTCACATTACCCTTTTTGTCTTCTTATAATACATTTTATCTTCTCATATTACGTACTTTTCTTGTACCCACTTTTTAATTTTTTTGTCTTTTTTAATCTTGTATATCAATTAATTTATTATATTATTCTCTTTCTCTTAACTTTCAATTTTTCACATTTCCTTAATCTCTCCAATCAATTTGTTTTTGTTTTTAATCTTTTCAACCAATTTGATGAACACAAAGTTTTTTTTTTTCTTTATCTTTTTCTAAATATTTTACATAAATATTAGTAGTAACTAATGTTATTTTATTTATAATTTATATTTATTAAGTTTTATTTTTTTGGATCTTATTATTCTTATTTGTCATATATCAAATTTTATCTTAATAAAATAATTGTATTTTAAAGGATTAAAAAGAATTAATAATTTAAACTTTTATTACTTCAAACTAATTAAATATTTCCTTATAAACTATATATTTCATATTTTTAAATGACAACTTAAAAATGAATTAACTTATATATGTAATCAAATGTTTGAATACAATATTATAATAATAATAATAATAATATAAGTATTTAAATGTTTGAATAAAGTATTATAATAATAATAATGTTATAAATATTCTATATATGTATAAATAAAAAATGATTAAATATTTCTTTTATATATTTAATTAATAATAATTACAAATTGTAAAATTATAAATATTTATTCATGTATAAAAAATACATGAAAATAGGAAAATTAGTTTATTTTAAATATAATTATTTTTTAAAAAATAATATAGATCGAGAACGAAGTTGAGGCGGAGTGGGGAAACCCGAAACCCAATGGGCACGGGATGAGGACTTAATTTCTAATCCCGGGAGTTGGGGATAGGGATGGCAAAACGGGCTAGCCCGCCGCTTTGGCCCGCCAAAAGCGGGACGGGCGCGGGTAGACCCGATATAGTCATGACTGGTCGTAGACCTTGGCCCGCCCCGCCAAGGGGCGAGTTGGCGGGATGGCGGGCTAGCCCACCATAATTTAGAAAAAAATAATTTTTTTTAAATAATTTTTTTTAATAAATTTAATAATAAGATTATTATTTGTTTGTCAATAATTCAATATATATATATATATATTATTTCAATTTAATAATATAAATCAATACATTATTTTAAGAAATTATAATTTAGAACAATAATAAAATTTACATAATAATAAATAATAACAAATATATATATATATATATATATATATATATATATATATAAATAACGTTAAACTTATAAAATTTATATTTTTTATATTGAAAAATTCAAATACCTATATCTTTTTTATTTGATAAAACTTCATATTATTCTTGGTTGAGTAATTCTTACACCTTTAATTCAAGTAATAAGGATAAAAATAATCAGTGTTTAGGATAAATAAGAAGAACAAGAGAGAAGGTTATATTTCAGGAACGAGAATATTTTTCGTGAGAATGAAACTTTTTTAATTCTCATTTTAAATTTTTTAACTTTATATATTATCTTTGTAATTAATTTTATTACAATAAAAAATTATTTTTTTATTAATTAGGCGGGCCACGGGCTGACCCACCAGGATTTATAGACATATTCCAATGTTTAAAGAGATAGTTTCTAGAGACAAAATTTCACAAGGTTGTTATCAATGGGAAAATTTAAAAGGAAGAAAGATTCACGTCAAACTACCAGGATCATATGTAACATGTGCAAACAAAAAAACAAAAAGTTAATGATACTTCACATTAACAGGACAAAATACAATCCCAACAAATGCTGAAGGACTAGAAACAACTCAGTCAGATCCTGTCAGAATGAGAATATTGCCACTATCCCAAGGTTATTAAATGCTAACCTGGATCGGGAGGTTTACTACTAGGGCCACCTTGGTTTTGAGGGGTAGCCATGGTGCCCTGAGATTTAGTCTCCATCGTAAGCATCTTCAAAGATATTTTCCGTAGATAATCAGACTGAAAATAGGGAATATCACATTAAACCATCAATCTTTCATATTGTATGTGTTTGTATTCATAGCCATAAATTTATAATCTGAAATCAGATATCTACCTGGCTTGTTGCAGCAGTAAAAATCTTCTCTTCAAACCTTTGAGCAATCTTCTTAAGTTCAAGCAATCCATCTTGACCAGAAACTGGAAGATGTCTTTTTAATGTGTCCATTCTACAGAAAAAGAAGAAAAACATGTTAATAACTGTTATGTGTAGCCGTAATAGGGTCATTAGGATTAGGATTTATGTTAGTAATGTCTTAGTGTACGTACTCCTTTATTTATAAATATGAGGGTCATTACCTGAAGTAGTAATCTAATTCCAGTACACATTTCTGTTTTTCTATATGCTCTCTCTAAAATCTATATGACATCCAGACCATCTGAACCACCTACCCACCAGGTTCTTACCTGCAACCTCTCTCTCTCTCTAAAATCTATATGATATCCCCTCGAAAGACCCATCACTCTCGGCCACAGTAAAAAAACCAGCTACTTTAGAAAGTGTCAACCATAGCTGCTCTGGGAATAAAAAAAAATTGGTGGCCAGCAAATGCAGTAATCAAGGATTTAGGATTTCTGAAGTCTTTTGTGTCTTTTTCTAAGGTGCAATCTAGAATGCACTATTCCTTGTTTAGTGCTAACTATTTTTGCATAGAGTGGGGGTGTTTTAGTCAGTGGAACAGAACCCAGGTAGTTTCGTTGCTGTTTGTCATCATTTAATGGATTTTCTAGTAGTTCCACTGCTGTGTGTCGTCATTTGGTTGTCCTTTTTGAGGTTCCATTGCTTATTGCGATCGTTTGCTGGTCTTCCCAAAACCAAGTGGGGCATTTTAGCCAGTGGGACCAGGAGGCACCGTTGCTGTTTGGTGGTGTTTCTTGAGGTTTTCTTGCTCTTAGTCATCATCTGATGATTTTTTTGGTGCGTTCTAACTGTTTTTTGGTTGCTATTACACAATGTCTAGCCAGAGTTTGAAGGATGTGCAAAACAAAGGGGCAATCACGACTCTATCCAAACTCACAGATATTAAGCTCAATGGGGATGGTACTAAGTAGGTGGAGTGGAAGTATCTGGTTGACACTACCCTTGGTGCATGGGGAAGGATAACCACTTGATCAAGACAGCCCCTACCCGTCCTAAGGACGTTGAAACATGGACACTATATGAAAAAGAGGTTACTACTCATTGCAGAACTGTGAAGGAGTTGTGGGATCCTTTGCAATTCTAAATCCTTTGTGGTTGGTGTAGACTCTATCTCCCTTCCTAAAACCTTGCAAATGCCCTAAGTCATAATGGTTAGCACCATGCTCAGGAGGAAATGTTGGCTCTTGAGAAAAATACTACTTGGGATTTGGTTCCCCTTCTCATAGGAAGAGTGGCTATTGGTTACAAGTTGGTTTACACTGTGAAGGTTAATGCTGATGGTTTTGTGGCTCAATTGAAGGCACGCCTTGTTGCAAAGGGGTATTGCTCAGACTTATGGAGTTGACCACACAAATAATTTATATCCAGTTGGCAAGCTAGAATCTGTTTGTATTTTTATCTCTGCTGCGGCTGCGTATCATTGGCCTTTATTCTAGCCAAATGTCAAGAACGCCTTTTTACATAGTGACTTACAGGGGGAGGTGTAAATGGAGCAACCTCCTGGATTTTGTTGCTCAACACAGGTGTGAAAGAGTGGGTTGTTTAAAAAAATCATTACAAGGCTTGAAACAATCACTAAGACTATGATTTAGGAGATTCCAAAACATGGTTCTGGAATTTGGATTAGTAAGAAGCCAGAGTGATCATACAATGGTTTACAAACAGACCAACCCTGTTTACATTTTACTTCTTTTATGATAGATTATATTGTTATTAAAAGAATTAATAGCAAAGGAATCAACAAGGCAGATCATGATTTTAACAACATTGTCCCACTCACCCATCTAACGTTGGCAATCTGCGGAGTCAGTTACTTACATATGTTGCGAAACAACAGTAAAACGTTGCAAATTATTTCAGGGAAACAATATTAAAACTGAACCTTACATTTTGTTGACAATTCTTTGACGTGACTCCTGCTGTAGCCCACCTCTCCAATCACTAGTATCCATATTGGCTTCAGTACCTTGATTAGGTCTCCAATTATTGTTATCCATCAAATTTTGATGAACTGAAACACCAAAAGCAGACTATTCTTGTCAAATCGGATTCCAAGAGGAAGGTGCGAAGAATGAATATAAATATATGAAATATTGTAAACATAATTCACAGAAATCAATGGTTTTCACAGAGATAAACCGTCCATCCATAAATTGTATAATATAGTCACGGCAACAATTAAAAACAGACCAAACGTCTTAGAATGTCAATTTACCATGCTTAAGCCTACTATGCATGCACAACAATAATTCTAACGGGAACATATGGATTGTTGTTTAGTAATTAATTGTGCAAGCGAAGAACAAAATTCCCAATATTACATAAAGTATTCCCTCATTTTTGTCCCTATCTAGTGTAACGTCCCATCTTAATTCTTTGTTCTCCAAATTTGGCGTGAATGGAGAGATGTGCCGTCCTAATTTCCTTCAAAGATCTCGAGTCCTATAACGTCCCATTGAAACGAAACACGCCTCTTTTCTACTCGCTTTTTCAATTAACGTTATCAAAGACTGTGAATCCAATAATAAGCTTATAACGATGAGAGATAAATTGAGAGACAGATAAATCTATTATAAAACGGACCTGATGGTGGCGATTTCCGGCGGTGGCGTGGACAGTGTTACAGGTTGCGTGTCTGACTCGTGAGCTTTTATTGTAGTGTGTTGTGAGTAACTCAGAGGGGAAGAAACAAGGCCTATTTATTATTATTTGTAAAGCATTTCTAACTTGACTAAATATATTAATTTATTAAATAAAATATTACATTGACCATAGGATAGGATCATATTTGAACGGTCAAAATTAGAAGAAAAACAAGGTTTTATCTGCCGAAAATAAATCTGGTTGGTTCACGGTTGTGGATAAATGTGAAATCTGTATTCTAAAACCTTGAATTTTAGTTTTGCTTTTATGACATTTTATATTTCTCAAACTTAACTGATGAACAATTTCTCCATCGCCTCAATCATCCCCAAACTTACTAAATCTAATTCATTTTTCAAATTCATTTTACCTTTTTCACAAATTAAGATATATTAGTTTAGGATTAATCTTGTTAATTAAAAAATAGGTTCAGAATATTACATATATATTTGGTTATAGAATATATTTTTTTATTAGTTTTATATTATTTTTAATAAATATATTATAACTTGTTATATGTATAATAGAAGACGAAATGCTTCCTCTATAGTGTAGTATTTTTTTTTTAATTTTACACTTGTTTAGAGCTAATGTTGTTGGAATTTCATAATGCACATTCAAACATCATAAATGTTTACTCCCAATTATTCATTTTCATCTCATTTTTTTAACTTCACACAATTGAAAAAAATTAATTACAAAAAATTGAAGAAAAATGTTTAAAAAAATACAATTATAGAAAATAGAAATCTATTAAGTTAAAATTAATATATATGACAAAAAAATAATAAAAAAATTTATCACTGGAAGACAAAGCATTAAAATTAGTGTATAAATAAGATTTGGGTGAATATTTTTTATTTTATTTTTATTGCGGTTTACGATATCTTTTGTTATCATCATTTAATATATAATTTGTTTCCATCTTAATTTTTTTTATTCCATCAATTTTTTAAGTACTTTTGTTTGTTTTAATTTTTTTCCTTTATTTTCTCATCGCTATATGTTATTTATTATTTAATTTCTACTTATAAAATAATAAATCATCTCATATAATTTTGTAATGATTGTTTTCATGAACTAAACATATGGACATTTTCAATACACGTTAAAGAAGTTTAATTATAAATTATTGTAATCAAGCTGATTCGTGTTTTTCACTGGTTTAATTAAAGTAAACAAAATTAAGTAGATGAATTCAATTATGTTGAGGCACAAAAAAGAAGAACGGAAGTAAGAAAAATATAAGAGGGGTAAACAAATACAACAAGTAAGGTGAGGGCAAAAATGGAATAGAGAATTTAGTGGTTTAGATGAAGGTGATGAATTTGCTAAAAAATAACTCAAGAAATCTCACCCGACGATCCAAAAGCATGAAGATAAAATTTTAAACAATAAAATTCACCTTCAAGATATCAAAATAATATTAATGTGTATATTCAATAATCAGTGTGTTAGTAGGTGTTAGTAGGAAATCGAGAAAAGCGATCGAAAAATGAAAGAAAGAAAAATCGAGAAACATGTGACTGATCGGTAAAACGAAAAGGTGGATGAGAAACCATTCGATGTCCAATTAGAAGGGCACGACACATAAAATCGAAAGTTAGAGTCGAAATCGGAGAAATAATAGTCAAGAGTTTATTGTGGAACAAACCAAGAAATTAGAAGTATATGATGCTAAGGTTAAAAGAAATCAAAAGTAATCCAAAGACCTCGATAAAATCGAAGTCTAAATCGAAAGAAAGGTCAACCCGCATAAATATCAAAATCGTGGTCAGATCTTAAAGAGAAGGAGTTAAACATGCACATAAGAAACAGTTTCTAAATCGTGGCAGAGGAAGAAGATCATGGGAACGTGGGTGCAGTTTTAACACCATAGAAGAAGAAACTGCAACACGCACGAAGAACGTAGTAGCAGTTTTGTTAACTGCTCCTAGAAGGCTTGAATGATACCCTATAAATAGAGCAGAGGAAGAAGGAATGGGGGAGCGAAAATTGGCAGAGAACAGAATTAGTAGTGAAAAAGTCTACCGGAGAAACGACGAACACCATGAAGCTTCTGGCAATCTGGGTTTCTATGCTCACGGAGTACCTTTATCGCTTTCTGTATTTTCCTTGGTAATTCACTTTGATGCAATTTATGTTCAGCAATTTTATGTTTCTGTATTTTCGACTCTTAGTCATTTCGATTCAGTACAAATTAAGTTTCTGTATTTAAATTCTCTGGTCATTTTACATTAATGCAAATTCAATTTCCAGTCATTTATTGCACCTTTGATTTACTGTCCTTTACATTTCCTGCAAATTCGATTTCTCGATATTTACATCGTTGTTGTTTCGATTCCTTGTCTTTTACACTTAAGCAAATTTTAGATTTCGTAGTTCACGTCTCTTTGCAATCTAAGTTTCAGTACTGCTCTTCGATTACATATATCTTCTGCTTTCTTTACTTCGAGCATTCTTAAATACAAAATCTCAAAAATAGTATCTTTGAATTCGGGTAAAATACGATCCTCATACATATTTCGATTGAAAATCGATTTGCTAGCCTAAGCAAAAAGAACCTACATGGTAGAATTTTGATTAGGATCAAAATATCTTAGGAATCGAAATCGATCGAAATTCCACCAGAAACAAATTGGCGCGCCAGGTAGGGGACTTGTGTTGAAAATACACAATTGGTTAGTTCGAAAGTGTATGAGATTAAGGAGTGGGAGGGTTTTCAGAATGAGTCAAAATTCTTCAAATAACCAGAGTAACAGTGAGGGACTGAGTGGTGTGCCTCCGCCAAATACTGGGGGGCAAGGGCACAACGGGAGTATGCCTGTAACATCGACAACTACGAGTATGTCGATACCTGTGAGTAATGAACAAAATTCAGGCACAATAGCAAACACCCAAGTAGGATCTAGTGTGATGGTGCCAAATAATATGCAAACTGTGGGAAACCCCACAACCACATATGTAGGGTCATATATGAGTGTAAGACCTCCCGGGTTTTCACTTAACAATATGAGCGGGGTTGGAACTTCTTCAACACTGAGGAATTCGAGATATAACTTAGGAATGCCTCAAACACTAGGTATGCCGCAGTATTTCGGAGTCCCTCCAAATTTAGGGACATCTCAAAACTTAGCAATCCCCCAGAATTCAGGAAGCGGACAGAATTTAGGTACACAACAAATACCTCCAAATCTAGATCATAGAGGAAATCTGGATCATGGGAGACATACATTCGATAGAGATTATAATCGAGCCAATTTCGAAACTATCGAAAACACTAGCACCGGAATATCTAGTAATTCATTAGGGGTACTTAGACAACAAATGGATGAGAGTAATTTTGAGATGGTGAATATGTTATCACAACAATTGACTACGGTCCTAAATCCATTAGTTCAAAACACTACCGCTAGTTTCGAGATATTAGCAGACCAAATGTCACGAATCGGGGATGCATTGGCTGTACCTCGACAAACAAGGGTAGAAAATCATGCTAATCAGAATACTAATATCAATCCCCCATACCTATTAAGGAGAAATAGAAACAATGATCAACATCAGTATATGGGGAATGAGTACCAACATGTGAGGAATGATATTTATGGGAATTTGAACGAGGGATTTCAGAATATACACAATCAGAATAACATGTTAGGACAGAGGGTAAATTTACAAGGGATGGAATTTAGACCACTCAATCAAACATACTTTGTGTCACCCTTCCCAAATACGATTCTCGAGACGGAATTACCTCGAGGATACAAAGTACCTAAATTCACTAAATTCGCTGGAGAGGTTGGTGAATCAACTATCAAGCATGTAGCCCGATATCAGATCGAATGTGGGGATCTAGCGATGAGTGAAGAATTAAAAATGAAATATTTTCCTAGTTCTTTGACTAAAAATGCTTTTACTTGGTTCACTTCGTTGCCACCCAATTCGATATATAATTGGCTGCAATTGGAAAGAAATTTTCATGAGCAATTTTTTAGAGGAGAAACTCAAGTAAGTCTCATCGACTTGATGAATATAAAAAGATACAATCATGAAAGCATAGATGATTATTTGAATCGATTTAGACAAATGAAATCGAGATGCTTTACTCAAATTCCTGAATATGAATTAGTCAGAATGGCCTCTGCAAGCTTAGAATTCTCGATTAGGAAAAAGTTAGTCAATTTACCATTGAATGATATGGCTCAGTTAGCTGATAAGGTGAGAAGAGTAGAACAAATTGAATATGAAAAACAAAGATATAAGAAATTTGAGAAACCGATGAAGAAAGAAAGAATAACATATATAAATGATGTGTATGAAACAGATCCCACGACAGAGAATGATGTGGAAGAGACTGTCGATGAGAAAGTAAATATAGCAGAGCTCAAAGTAGGAGCCCCATATATTTGTAAATTGCTACAAAAGAATGAAGTAAAAGACAAGATGGCAAATCGAACATATACTTTCGATGTGACAAAGGCTGATAAAATCTTCGATATTTTACTAAAAGACAAACAAATTAAGTTGAGTGAAGATCATAAACTGCCTACGGCAGAACAAAGGAATGGTCGAAAATATTGTAAATTTCATAATG